CATATAATATCCCTAAAAGTCTTTGGGTCCAAATAAAATTAAAAGATTTTTGCAATTGCTAACATCTCTTTTTTTTAAGATTTTTTTTATTGGGGAATTGGGGGAAGGGGAACAGACAAGTTGCTGTCATTTTGTTCTTCAGTCTAGTTGTGGAGGACGTTGCTTCACTGGCCCAAGTTGGCACCATCATTGTGCTCTTCCCAGGTGAGGCAGATCAGTCGCCGGCTGCTGGCCGCTCACGCTGGCTGCTGGCTACACATGGTAGCCTATGGCAACCCACTGCAGCAGGGGCTGCAGCCTACGCCGTCGCCGGCGACTCACGGCTGCCCAGCTCCAGGTTGAGCTGTTGTTCAGCATCTTAGCTGTGGAGGGCAGTGTCACTGGCCCTCTTATGTGGGATCCAAACCGGGGCCCTCTGGTGTCCCAAGCCAGGTCTTAACCATCACGCCACTCGGCCGGCCCAAACTTATCTCTTTGAGATCATGATGCACAGTGTTTAGAAGAACAGGATAATATTCGGTGGCCTGGTGCACTTGTAAGATGGCCCACTGCCTAGGTGGCATTTCCACTGAACCTGATTCAGTGACTCGTGAATGCTCAAAGAACCCAGCACTTGCCCCAGGCGATTGCTTGGAAAGTGTTCCTGCTTCATGAGACCAGCCATACAAGCTGCATGCTGCGCTAAGCTGTATCTGTCACTACCAACGTGGGTTTTTAGCATGGTGAACAGGTGCAGACAGAAATAAAACTATGTTAATGGGTCTTAGCCGAAAGTACTATGGACAGCACAGACACGTTGAGAGAGTTAGCTCTACTTCAGAAAGAAAAGTGCAGAATAAAAGTAATGAAAGTCGTAAAATACCAAGACAGGAAATGACTTCCTCTGTACTGAGCAATAATAGGAAACATTCAAGTTATTTGCAACTTACAAACCACCAAGGAAACCTAAAGAAAAATCTATTACTTACCACCGAATTATAATCCAGTTGATCATATTACTGATTAGAGAACATAGTTCTCTTTTAGGAAGGGGGGGTGGGAAGCTAAGTTGTGTAAATTTGCCTTCTTTAAAGTGATATTCTTCAGCAAGATGAATCTTTACAATATCTCAAGAACTTTCATTCTTGCAGTATGTTTAAAAGATTGCAAAAATCAATAAAAAAATATAATAATTGAAAGATTCAGATATGACCTGTGCTCCGTTTCAGATGTGATTGTCCCACCTCTGACAAAGCTGAAACTCATCTGGCAGGTAGCACAGTTAGGCATCCATTTGACCCTAGAGCAGTAAGAGCCATGCAGGAATAACAGCGTGTAACACTAGCATAATGACATGGCTAGAAGACCAGTTCACTGAGATCTGCACAATCCCAATGGTGATATAAAAGTAAATGCCATTTGATCCTTCTTTTCAAACAATGTATCGACTGAAGAGTACTCTGAGGTATGATATAATTGTCATATGAAATCATACGAGATAGAACCATGGCAGGGCAATTAATTGAAAAAAAGCTGTTGTTCAAATAAAATTCCTCACCTTTCCCTTATGAAAGACAAGTTTAACGTTAAGCACAGAAAAATCCAGTAAAATCGTAAAGTTGAATACTTAGGTTTTAAATCTAGATGAAATTCATCAAACATTTGCAAGCTACTGTAAGTATTGTAATATGATGTATTTAATATAGCACTTTTGCTTACATTATTGCATTTAACAATTAAATGTGAACAACAAACAGGTAGGAAAATATTTACAAGAAATTTAACATGTACAGTATGTGAGAAGTCCTACAAATATGTAAGAAAAGATAAGCCAGTTTTTTTAAATTTCAAAGGATATGAATAGACAGTTCACAGAAGAGGAATGCTGGATGGCCAGCAAATTAATAGTCAAGGTCGCTCTTAGGGGAATGCAGATGCAATGAAAATTTGGTTCCTCATTTCACCTATCAGACTGGCAAAAAATGAAATTTTAACAAGTGTGCACATTGTTAGCAATTTAACTGCTGATAGCTAGAAGTTCTAGCATTTTATGAATGTCAACTACAATTTTATATACATATATATATATATATATATATATATATATATATATA